TGAACCTAATGGATGAATATCCTTGGCATGAGTAAAAAATAAATAAATAAATAAAATAAATAAATAAATAAAAAAACTATTAATGACAATGACCGGTTTGAGTTTGTAGCATCTCCAACTTAAGTTATTAAGCCCTAGGAGTGTCTCTACACTTAACACCCTAAAGCCATCTGGTTTGGGAGTTGTTGGCCTAACGCTTGCTACATGGGTTGGTTAGAAAGCTTAAAAAACTTAGACATTGCACGGTCATTCAAAAAAATTAACATGGTCCGTTAGAGTTCGTAGCCTTTCCAACTTAAGTTATTAAGCCCTAGGAGTGTCTCTACACTTAACACCCTAAAGCCATCTGGTTTGGGAGTTGTTGGCCTAACGCTTGCTACATGAGTTGGTTAGAAAGCTTAAGGGACTTCGGCATTGCACAACCATAATATATATCATTTTGAGTTATAATAAATTTTCAGCAAGCAATAAAAGTTGTATTGAAAATAAATTCATGCCTTAGTGACTTCATTTAAAAGGGAATTCAATGATTTGAAGACTTGTATCTTGAAATTGGAAAGAGAAGGTTAAAGCCACATGTTGGGAAATCCGGTTCACTTTCACTGAAGCTAAAGTTGATTTCTATTCAAGAGATAGCAATTGAGTTATTTATATAGACTATGATGTTGTTGCATGAATGTTGAAGCATATTTAACCATTTATTTTTGTATCAAGGCTTCATATATGCAAGGTAGTCTGCCTAATGATCCCGTCTCCGGTCTTTTGTCTGTTTCAAGTTATATTTAAGCTATGCATGTATTCCATGTCACCATGGTTGATATTTTTGGGAAGCATTCCATTAGTTGTCATTTCATTGAGTGTTTCATTTTGGTTTTTGCTATGGGACTAGCAAAATGTAAGTTTGGGGGTGTGATAAACGCCGAATATTTCATATTCAAGCGCCCTTATTTGCATTAGTTAGGTCTATTAGTGGTTTAATTGTATAGATTATCTCCAGTTCCGTGTTTTTGTGTTTTTTCAGGTTTATCCTCCAAAAGGAAATAAAATGGAAGCTTTTGAAGGTTTTCTGAAGGCTAAGTCATTCCAGACCTTTGCGTTCCTTGATTTCCATGAAGAAACTGCCAAAGTGGGTGCATGAGGAATTCCTACAAAGAAAAAAAAAGGGCAAATGATTCTCAATGTCCCAATGCCAAGATCATAGTTGAAGAAGTCTAAACCAGAAGGGAAGAAAAAAATAAACCAAGGCTTCTTCGAGCACTCGAAGCCTCTTCTTCGAGCGCTCGTACGACATACATAGCTAACTAGGCGCGCGACACCATGTCACACAAGTGCTCATGCCTCCTTTCGAGCGCTCCAACTTGGGACAGAATGAAGCAAGGCATCTTCGAGCACTCGAAGTCCTTTCGAGCGCTCCAATTCGAGGCAGAAAGCTAAATCCTCCTTTCAAGCACTCGTAGCTTACCTTCGAGCGCTCGCCCATGCAGTCTCGAGTCTTAAAGAATTTTCTAAGGCACCTTCAAGCGCTCAAACTGAGTCCTTCGAGCGCTTGAAAGAACATTGCAGACCCACTTGCTCCTTGATCCTCTCAATTCTTGTTCCCTCCTTAATTAGGTTGTTGGCAAAAAGCTGTGAGAGGACATGGGCCTCAGTTTTTGAAGGATTTGGTAGACATCTTGTCTACAAAAGAAGAGGAGGAGGTGAATTCTAGAGATCACATTTTTTCTTGTAAGATTGGGAGAGAGAAATATTGGAGAGGAGAGCTTGTGTGGCCAAGGCTAAGCTCGAAAATGAAAGGCTTTCTCAAGCTTCTTCCTTCCTCTAGTGCAACCATGGGTAACTAATTCTCCATCTAGGGAGGTGATGAAGCCCTCCCTTGTAAGCATGTTCTAGTTTAGATTCTATTTTGGGAAAACAATGTATAATTTTTGGTCTTTTCATGATCTAGAGCATCTTGCTTCTTGTAATGGATCTTAATGTATACAAATGATTATTTTGAGTTAATTATCTATTTTAGATGGTTTTTCTTCTCTTAATCATTTTTGTTTGCACTCTCATGGTGACAATGGTAGTGAGATCATGGAATGGTTTTATTGGCATAAAATTGGAGAGTCTTGATAATCCATGGCTTGGGTTCTCCCTTTGATGGGCTATGCTTGATTTCTAGCTTTATGTGCTATCATCATTTAATTTAGGGCTTGATAATCCTTAACTTAGTAAGCATGTTTTAGGCTACACCTTAGTTTAGGTAGTTGAACATGTGGACCTTTGATGGTTTATTCTTGCCTTTTACTTTAATGAACCTCTTGAAGATATTATAGCAACCGAGTGATGCTATATATCATGATCATTTTATATGTTGTTTTCCCCCAAATTAGTCCTAATCTAGCATATGTATAGGGATGGAGGCGAATTCACTTCCCTAGTCCTCTCTACTTAAATTTCATTTCTTCAACTTCTTGCAAGCTTTTGTTTTATGAAATTTAAATTCTTAGGTCTTAAGTGACAACAACAAAACAAACTCTCTACCACCTTCATCAAACTAAAAGTGAATCTAACAACTTAGTTTGCCATAAACTAGCAGTCCCAATGGTTCGACTTATCCGACTAATAGCCCTATTTTACAATGATTTGTGCTATTGCAAAGGTTGATGTATAATTGATAACCGATCAGTTCGAAACAAAGTACATTGAACTTTGACTCAAGCTCATACCTTATCGTTCTACCAAACATGAATCCTCTGGCCTTGGAACGTCTTGTCCAACAGCACTTGACCTCAGGCTTACTCTTGATCTTACTGGTAGATCAAACAACACTTCTCGAATGCTTTGACCCTTTCAAAGTGTGATCGCTTTTATTCATGTTCTTCAATAACTAAATTCAATGTAATAGTAAATCTGTTTTTCTCTAATAGTTGTGGATGCAAGACTTTGATCACGATCAGAATTTGAACAACACTCTAAACTCACTCTTGTGTTTATGTGTGTGTTTTAGAAAGAATGATAGAGAAATCAACTATGATTTTTTGCAAAAATATCTTTCTAAAGCTTTTCTGAAATATGAAGTTATAATGCAAAAGCCGTACTAAACCTAGATGAATATCAAGGTTTACATAGAATTTTCAAAGACTTAATCATGCATAAAATAAAGGAAATTTCGTGCATAGGACTTTTGGTAATATTCTAAATCAACTAGGAAGTTTGAAACAGAACAGGACAAAGTTACCTTAAACTGTATCAGCAGTGGTACCGGTAGCCACATATGGAACCGATTCCCAAAGGACAGAACTCAATTCTTCGAAGGACAGGTTCTTGAACCAGTTCCCACTTGACAGAACTGAATGAAAGGATTCTGTTTTGGTAACTTGAAGAGTATACCATGTAGGTATAGTGTCCTAAGTGGGAAACGACTTCCTAAAGTGTTGTTCTTTCTTTTCTCGACGATCTCAATATATCATCTACGAACAACCTTCCAATTCCGATACGATAACTTGAAATTACAACTCGATCAGACTTATTTTGACATAAAATTTGCCAATTACAAAAATTATATCTCACAATTCACACATGTTGTCTTGCTTCCGACCTTGAGACTCAAAAGTAACATGAAAATTACAAATCAATTGGACTTACTTTCACACCAAAATATGTCAATTACAAATTCATACTTCATAAAAGTGTGTTGCATTAGATAGCCACACCAAGAAGAGTAGAAAATTTTGAGGAAGTAGGCCGTCAAATATGTATTCTATGTTCTAAGAAATAGAGTTTAGATTGGGAATCCGTATTTGAGTCCTCCCTCCCCCTAGTTTGCCCGAAAAAAAAAAATAAAATAAAATAAAATAATAAAAAAAAAAATTTGAGTTTAGATTGCAAGACCCATGAAACTCAACATATTTAATGCTTTTATGGGCTTACTGTTGGCTTTCTTGAAGGAACACTTTCAACATATTTAATGCTTTTATGGGCTTACTGTTGGCTTTCTTGAAGGAACACTTTCAACATATTTAATGCTTTTATGGGCTTACTGTTGGCTTTCTTGAAGGAACACTTTGAGAGGTGGCCGATAAGGGTGTAACTTGGGACGACCAACCCGAGTACAGCTCAATTTTTTACGAGTTTTGACAATTATTTTTACAATTATTAAGGTTAAGCCTGAACAATTATTTTTTGTAATAATGATTCCCATAATTTTCATAAATAATTATTTTTGTTAAAATATATCCAACAAAATTTTGGAAAATAACAGTTTGAAGTTGGATATATATATATAAAAGAAGTGGGATATATATAGTATAAAAATAACTTAGTTACTATGTAAAACAACTACAACCTATCACAAATTTCTTTGGCTAAATTCCAATTTTTCTCTGTTGACAAACTAGTTGTAATATATCTCAGGTTGCTTTACTCTTGGAAAGAAAAATTACGGCACCTTGAAGTAGACCTAACTGGGAATGTTACACACATCAAAGGGACGATTAGAAGGCCCAAATCAAAATGATGAGACAAGGCCCATTACTAGACCCAGCCATAGGAAATCAGAGTTCCACAAACTTCGCAACTGAATCTGAGACTTGAAGAGTGAAGCTTTGCCCTGCACTAGAGATACTACGTCGTCATCCGTGCCACCAATCAATTATGTCTTGTTAAGTAAGTAAAGTGCTTTAGTTTAGTGGGTCTCATCATTATTTGTTAATATTTAATCAGCTGGCTGATATCATGTCATTAATGTAACAGGAGCAATAAAGTATTTCTCACCCTAACAGAGCTTCCAATATTACTGAGAACCCTACCATGTGACAATGCAATGAGGCTAATGATCTTTACAACCATCATTTATCATTAATGGATGGAGAGGAATACATTATATGGTGAAAGTTTATTTAGTTCAACTGAAGAACAATTTTTTGGTAGGTGTTGAGTAAGAAGTGCAAGTAGTGCTTTTTCATACCACAGAAAGTCCAGGAGAAAGTAACAACAAAAAGCATAACACAAGCAAATAGACTGAAACAGAATATTTCTGATTTCTATTTAATATAAATTCCAACCTTTGGATTCTCACATAATCTAGAGTCACCAATTCCTTGAAACATTTTATGTTCTTACATATTCCAACCAAAAGAAAAGAAAAAGAAAGCTATATAAGTTTAACATCATGATTGAACATTGAGACCTAGATAACAAAAGAACAACATGATACTTTTAGCATTACACACAATTTCACAACTGTTTTTGAACTGTTAAAGAAGCAGATCTATGGGCTCCAATACACATCGGCAGGCAACACAAAAGAGTACGATCACTAGAAGGTTTATAGGATGAAAAAAATTCTGGATCCTGCTCGAGAGAAGCTGCATAAACTTCTAGGATATTGACTATCTCCCCAAAATGTGGTCGTTTGTCAGGGTTCCTTGACCAGCATTGTTTGATGAGATGTCTAAATGCCATAGGGCATGTGGATGGCAATGGTGGTCTCACATTCTGCACAAAACCAAACTAATGTAACACAAGGAAGATAAGAATTTTCAACTGTGCAAAACTTCTCTATCCCCATCAGAGCTAAAAGCTTGTCAAACCATATGACCTTTGCTAGACAAGCACGCACACAAACACAAAAAAACAGTCACACTACCACAGCACCAAAGATATGTCTCATGCAACTTATGCGACACAATTAAATGTGACATCCCCCAACAGGGGAAGGGTGCCACCTAAACTTGGCTATGATTTATGTGCATATGATGATTCTCTCATGCAACTTATGCTCGTGCAAGATAGGTCTTTAGATTGCATTTAGAATGCTGAAACTCAAAAGCATGAAATATTTGGCAACTCAAACCATCTGACCTTTGCTACACAAACATGCACACAGACACAAAAAAAACAGTCACACTACCACAGCACCAACGACACGTCTCATTCAACTTATGCAACATAAGATAATTTGACATCCCCCAACAGGGGAAGGGTGCCACCTAAAATTGGCTATGATTTATGTGCAGGCATATGAATGATTCTCTCATGCAACTTATGCTCATGAAAGATAGGTCTTTAGATGCATGTAGAATGCTGAAACTCAAAAGCATGAAATATTTGGCAACCATCCAGTTAGATGTATGTGGCATATATGTTAACAATTTAAGTTCTTCAGACCTGATGGTTTCTATTACGTTATCGAATTAAAAGATTATACAGGTAAAGGAAAAAGGAAAAACAAGAGCATGTAGTTTACCAAGGGAGTTAGTTCAGTCATGGTATTTCTTGTATGAGAATTCAGAAACTATTAGAAATGGAACTCCTGAAATACATGATTTAAAATATATCATGTTTCTTCTACATCATTTATTTAAAACATGAAGTAAATGTCCCACATGAATTCCTTCTATATCTCTATCACATATAATTATCTGCTTCCACATTTTTGTACGATTTTGGTAGACCTTGACAATCTCTGGTATATGTGTTTCTATTTTGGCAGTCTGGCCTGCAATTCTGCTTCCATGTAGTTGTATAACTTTGGTAGACCTTGACTGTCTATGGTATGTGTTTCTTTCTGTCAGTCAAGGCAAAATGGCAATGCAAGGCAATACGATTACCAAAAGCACATCAGCACCAGATTTTTTTTTGTTCCCAGTGCAGAAAGTTTGGTAAATAATTAAAGTGAATTTTGACCATGTTTGCCCAATACCTTCTTGATGGTCTTGGACTTCAGCCTCTACCAGCTTATCCAGAGAACATGAAAGTTATACCAGCTAAAGACTTTTATAACCTAGGCCAAATGCTATGCACTACAGTATGTTCTTGAAAACCTCACTAGGTTCAATATTACCCATGCCAGAATAAACAGGCTCAGAAGTACCTAAATGAATTGAACTGGGAATGTCTAATTCCTGTATCAGGTAGAAAATTCTTGACGAATATTTCATATTAATACCCTTTTTGTATTGCATCTTACAAGGATACTTCACAAAATTGAAATGTTCCTGTAGAGTTTACAAGGATATTTCATTATTAGAGGCCTACCCCCACACAGATAGTGTACACTTTCACATCAAACCAAAAAGCTACTTCCATGAACCTATATGACTACACATGATGATTCTTCATACTAATATCTTCCTGGTAGTCCCATTTTAGAGCATATAGGCCTATTGTTTAGCCACATGCCCCGGTGGCACCTACCTATATGAGATATAACAAAAGCCACAAGCATGACTAAATCTCTCGTCCAAAGAAATAATGTCGCTACTTTCCATCAATTAGTTCCAAAAAATACAGCTATTGTGAGTAGCCAATTGTTAGCAAACAATATCCAACCATGACAGATCTTACAAATTTCAAATTTATAATATAATCTTGATAATATGATATAATGGTCTTTATAAAATTCAAATAATTTTATCTTATAAATTTGAAATGTCTTAATTAATAGATGTATATAAATAAATTTATTTATATGTAGCCGGGTCTACAACATGTCTATGTCCTACTTTAGGATTCAACATTATGACGTATGCATATCCATATCCGTCGTCCATGTCTGTGCTACTTAGAAGGTTTTTCATTCAATGAATTTCCGGTGATTCACTTTCTCAAAAATAGAAGAATAAACAAAATCATAATGCCAGTCACTTTTTCTGGGTCTAAAAGTTGATTTTCTTTATGATAAAACATATGTTTTCTTTATGGCGAAACAGGCACCAGATGTCTCCAAAGTAACTTGTATAAATAGTTTCACAGAAAAGAAGAGGAAGACTGGAAGAAGAAGCATAATCTAGACAATGATTATGACTGAAGTTCTCACATTACAAGTCTTGATGAGAATAATATTTGCATTGAAAATATCTCATATCAACACTTAAGGAAATCTGGCGAGATTTTTTAAATCCTTCAATATTAAAATTTAAGATAGAGATCCATTCGTGTCTTTAAATAAAACGATTGCTAGTCTAAATAAAACATGTTGCAACACAACAACTGAGCATCTCCAATGGCCTCTCAAATGCCCTCTCAAACTCAAAATATAGCAAGTGGATGAAAATAAGGCACTCCAATGGCCTCTCAAAAGACCTCTCATAGTTTGAGATTGTCAAAAGTATTGCTAAATATAGCAGCTCTCAAATGGCCTCTCAAACTCAAAATATAGCAAGTGGAAGAAAATAAGGCACTCCAATGGGCTCTCAAAAGACCTCTCATATTTTGAGATTGTCAAAAGTCGCTAAAATGAAAATAAGGCACTCCAATGGGCTCTCAAAACATGGAATGGTTATTGTGTCAAAAAATAGCATTTTGAATTAAATGCACCATTGGAGCAGAATTGCAAAAATATAGCATTTTGACACTATAGCTCCTCTTAAAATATAGATTTGGCAATGAAATATAGCATTTTGCATTGGAGATGCTCTGATAATAAATCATAAGTTCGAACACAGAAAAAATGAGGGGAGGGGGGGGGAATACTAATAGATAGGGCTGCAATTTGGGTTGACCCAACCCAGTCCAGTCCCAACCCAACCTCAACCCGAATCGGGTTGGGTTGGGCCAACCCGAATTGTACTTAATATGGGTTATGGTCATAACCCGGATCGAATATTTTCGGACAGGTTGGGTCGGGTTGACGGTTGAATTTTTTTTTTTTAAATTTATATATATTATATATAAAAATTATATTAATTATTATATATAATTTTTATATATATATAATATTTGATTAGATTATTATAAAAAAAAACAATATATTTTTAGGTCAAATCATTTCAGCCTCCCCTATCGCCTCTATCTTCTCTGAACTTCCCCCCCCCCCCTCTCTCTCTCTCTCTCTCCAACTGCAAACTACAAAATCTACAAGAATCAAAAAGTTCAAAACCCAAATCGGCACATCATTTCAGATTGTTCAAAAAATCAAAACCCAGATCTTTCTGTTTCCATCGCCCGCTGTTCCGTTCACAAGCTCCAGCCGCCGTCTCTCTCTCTCTCTTTCCATCGCAAGCTTCAGCCGCTGTCTCTCTATCTTTCCATCCCAAGCTTCAGCCGCTATCTCTCTCTCTCCATCCCAAGCTTCAGCCGCTATCTCTCTCTCTTTCCAGATCTAAATATGTTATATTTTTGTTCAGGAGAGAGAAAGAAAAAGAAAGAACTAGAGTGGAAAATTTTCTGTTTCCATCGCAAGCTTCTACCCACATATAAACCAGATCGGCATATCATTAAATTGTATGTATGAGTAGAGAGAGAGAGAGAAAGAAGAGAGATTTTTTTTTTTTTTTTTTTTTTTTTTTTTTTTCGGGTTGGGTTCGAGTTGAGTCCCAGCCCAACCCGAATATGTCTAGGTTTTGACAAAACCCAACCCGAACATGAACCCGATTTGTGAATTGTATGTCCAAATTTCAAAATCTTTGGGTTGGGGCTGGGCTAGGCTGGGTTAGCCGGCCCAAGTTGCAGCCCTACTAATAGATGACATAAGCATACCAGATATGCATGGCAAAAAGGGAGCTTTTTGCCTCTGAACATCAAACCTGAATCATGGTTCTTAACCACCAAACCAGGTTAGCAAAAACTGGCACAGATACAATTGTGAAGGATCCAACAAAAAATCATGACAATGGATGAATCAGGACAATCTGATTTAGAGATATCTTCATGAAAATCAACCTGCTAATGTGCATTTTGATTTTACAAATAATGAAAAGGGATTTTTTTTTTAAAGATTAACATGCAAAAATCCCTACATCTCTCATGGCATTTATATTTCATATAGGTAAGCCTGTATTGGAAACATTGGGTAGTGGAAGTTGATTATTACAGTAAATTAGATGAAAGCAGACCGGGATGGAAGTTGTTGTAGAAACTATTTTTTCTTTTCTCTTTTTTTTTTTTTTTTTTTTTTTTTTTTTTTTTTTTTCATTCCTCTAATTTCAGAGAGCTACAATAACTCTTATGATTGCATAACACAATCAAATAACAAAGCGTACATGCTACTATGTTATGCAAAACCACATCTGAGTAAAGCCAATGTGACACTGATATAGGACAACACCCGCACAGCTGTGGAGAGAAATCATATATAAGAGACAATATTTTGTCAAAATCTTGCCTACGTCAGCAGATGAGAAGAGAAAGCTAACTCTAAGCATAATGAAATTATATAAAGACAGCCCTTCACCAACCTTCTAAACTCTCACTAAGCCGTATACCTCATACGTCTTTGAAATTAATGGCCTCATATGTGTTTGCATAAGGTTCCTTAAACCCAATTCCTTGTAAAACAATGATCACAAAATACAAATTTCTTCCCCAAAATACACGACTATAGTCCTAAGAATATGACCGACACAGTAGCTAAGCTGAAACACAAACACCGTCCTCTTGCACGAAACCAAACTATCGAATAAGAGAGAACTTTTATGATACTAATATTATTGAACAAATCAAAGTAATTAGAAAGATGTCACACCTGTAGCATAGACTCCTGAATTAAAAAGTTT